CAGGGCTGCTGGAGCCACAGCAACACTGCAGCCTGTGCAAATGGAAATGAGGCCAAGCGCCCTGGGAGGAGCCGACCTGGCGCCCTTCATGGTCAGTCACCCAGTGCTGATCACTAGGCTGCTTCCTGCCCTGGACCTCAAGGCATGTCGCTGAAACTCCCTAACTGGAAAACCAAATGAAGCCCCAGGGCGTGATTCTTTGATGTGCATGAGTGATTTTTTTTGATATTTTGTGAGACACAGTCTTGCTCTGTCACCCAGGCTGGAGTACAGTGGTGCGGTCATAGCTCACTGCAGCCTCGACCCGTGGGCTCAAACCCTCCACCCACCTCAGCCTCCTGAGCAGCCGAAACGACAGGAGTGAGCTGCCACGCCCAGCTAATCTCTCTTTCTTTTTGTAGCAGTGGAGTCTTGCCATGTTGCCCAGGCTAGTCTCGAACTCTTGGGCTCAAGTGATCCTCCCATCTCAGCCTCCCAAATTGCTGGTACAGGCATAAGCCACCACCATGCCTGACTAGGTCTCTGAAATATTCAATGACATTTTGAAGGCGCTGCACGCGGGTCCCCTAACTTATCAAGATCTTCAAGTGTGGCTTTCGAAAGCGCGGAAGGCACACTTTGAACCACCGTCAACTATACACATGCAAAGAAACGCTTTCTAATTGTGGATGCTAAGTCACGTTCACAGGTTGAGGACATGCCGGCCGCAGAGTGAAACTGCCGTTTAAACTGATTTTAGGCCACAGCAGCTAATGCACATCCTCGAATATGAAATGCTTTTAAATGTCACTTCATGTTAAGTACCACTTGGTAGGTTTTTAAATTACTCTCAAATGGCATACTTTCTTTATTTTCCTTCACGGTAAATCATCAGCCAATTCACCACCTTGAATCACGGTGCTGTATTTAAAGCTAACTACTCACATCACAAGTGCACAGGGTACACGCAGTGGGTCAACTGAAAGAGCGCATGTGCAGATATCCACAGGATGGCGCTCATGTGTTCTGGCAAATCAGTGTCCAGGTGCCGACTCTGTGAAGAAAGTATACTCGGAAAGCAAATCTCCTTCTCATCTAGGTCCCTGCTGGGACACCTCTACAGGTTACCCAGACCTCCATAGTAAATATGCATGTCCTCAAAAGCTTGTGACACCACTCTGTATTAGGACTGTCTTCACAGAAAAAACACAAAATCTGAGTACAGTACACGGTCCCATATCGTGAACACATACATAATGGTGATGCCAGGCAGTGGCTAACAAACTTTTAGATAGTGGAACCCTTGATTCACATGAACCCCAACAATTAAAAGCAAATATTTTATGTGTATAGATTTATTCCTGAATCTAAATTTATAAAACTCAGTGAAAATATTAAAGTTATTTGGTGAACATAAAAACGGAGACTGGGGGTAGGGCTGACAATTTGGTGAAGGTAGTCTTTAATGCCCATGTGACTCTCATACTGTTCGGCTTGCACAGTTTAAAGAACATTCTGGGTTTGGGGGGGGGTTCTTTTTTTTTCTTTTTGTGAGACATAGTCTCACACTGTTGACCAGGCTGGAGTGCAATGGCGTGATACCTGCTCACTGCAACCTCTGCCTCCCAGGCTCAAGGAATTCTCCTGCCTCAGCCTCCCAAGTAGCTTGGATCACAGGCACGCACCACCATGCCCGACTAATTTTTGTATTTTTTAGTAGAGACAGGGTTTTACCATGTTGGCCAGGCTGGTTTCGAACTCCTGACCTCAAATGATCTGCCCACCTCGGCCTCCCAAAGTGTTGGGATTACAGGCGTGAGCCACAGTGCCCGGCCTTAACATTCTGACTCACAGATAAGAAGACATAGACGTGTGTTTCACATCACATCAAGCAATACTTGAATACCACTTTGTTAAATAAATGTCACCAGTTTCACCGTGGTGTCCTTGCAAACACAAGTTTGCCTGGCAGAAAAATGGAGACGCTGATCATTTGTTGTAATTAGGTATTAAACATCAGTCTGCATTTTAAAACTTTACATTACATTTTTAAAAAATAAATGATGCATCAAATATTTATAGAATGAGGCTTCTGGGAATGGAGAACAAGCTTATTCCAGACCAAATCACTACAGATAACAATTATAAACTGGACAAAATACATGTCACAGCCATCGAAGGCACTGCATAGAAATCAAAAACAGAAACTTTCGAGAGGGAGCTGATGCTTGGCAGAAGGCAAAAGCTTTGCATTCCTGACTATAAAGACGTTTTGTTGGCGGCAAGCCCTGTTCTTCCAAGCAACCAGCTAAGCCTAAACAGAAAATCTGCAGTCCTGTCTGGCTGACTTAACCCACAATCTTATTGGCTTAAAAAAAAAAATGAGAGCATTGAGTTCAGAGCAATCAAGGAAGACTGAAAGTGAGGGAGGACCCTACAAACAAGAGCCAGAGAGGGATCAAAAAATTCTGTGTAATACTGCCTGAGTCTCTGGTTGATCCTGTAACCAACCATGAACCAAGGAAACTCCACACAGCCTGGCTAAGGTTAAAAGAACTTAAAAATTTTCTGCTGCTATTCATTGTGTGTGTGCTGGGTGATGGGGCAGAGGGGAATTGAGAGCTTAATTCTAGCCATATTAACTTTCTTCCTTAAAAAAAAAAAAAATCAGTTTTCAGAGGAATATAACAGAATCCAGAGTCTCTAAAATATATCACTCACCACGTTTACAAATACAATCCAAAACTATTAAACTATTAGACATGCACTCAAGAGTAAAAATAATCAATAGCGATTGATCTTGAAAAAAAATCCAGTTGGAATTGGCAAAGATTTTCAAAGAGCCAGTATACTCAAAGATGTAAAGGAAAATAAGTGCATAATAAATGAACAACAAAAAAGAACCATTAGGATATTCTAGAGTCAAAAAAATCCAATGTCTGAAATAAAAAACTTACTAGATGGGCTTAAGAGCAAATTGCATTAACAGATGAACCTACTCTAGGTATTTACGTTATAAATATTAAACTCTAATGACATATATGCTGAAGAATTCAGGAAAGTATATATATTACTTTGAAATGCATTAAAAAATAAGAATTGATGAACAGATGGAGAGGGATATATGAGCATTTACTGAACAACTTTATTGTAGATTTTAATTTTTTCATAATGAAACAGAGGGTGAGGGCTATTTGCCTAACTCTGGAAGGTGGAACAGGAGGATCATAGTTTGAAAATTCGAGAGTTAAGAGACCAAGCTTTAAGCCCCCATCAGTGGAAGCAATGGCCTTTTCCCCACCTTTAAAGCTAGGAGCTAAACTAGCACATCACTAAGATGCCTTCTAAACACATACAGATAAAACAGACCTACGACCCCTTCTAAATATTAATGCCATCTAAGGCATGAGGCTATCAAGACCAACAAAAAACCAATAGCCTATAAATATGAAGATTTTGATAAGAGTGCAGCTATGCAGACACGTCATCATGGTGGTGTTCACTGGCTCAAAAAGCTCCCTAAATCTTGAACGCAGGCCATGGGAGGTTTCCAGCGTCTTTGTATCCCATCTCAGGATACTTCTTCCTCTAAGTGCTTCCATTCCACTGATACTTCAGTTACGGAACTCGCCCCACACCGTCTTCCCCACCGTAGGGAATGCACACACTGTTCTCCCTACTGAAAAGCTCCTTTTCCTTCCCAGTGCTAACTTCTGTTCACTCTCAAATCTCAGCTTCCTTTGGCCCTCCGAGATTGGGCACTTCTCATTCCGCCCCAAACTGCGGCACATGTCAAGTGATCTAAATTACTTATTCAACAATATTGAATGTCCTTTTTTCTCATTAGATGAGCCGCTCCATGAGGGCAGAGCCTGGCCTGCCACTCTTCTCCAGCCACTGGCTAGTAGATGACAGGAACGGCTCACATCCACTGGTGTCTGCTTGGCACCAGGCACTCTCCCAAGTGTTCTACACATACCCTTGTATTTAAAATCTTACCAGGCTCACAAATGGTTGTTGAAGAATCCTCCCCTTTTGCCCTATGAACAACAATCCCTGAATAACTTATTGACACCTACAAAATGCCAGGCACTGTGCTCAAGACAACAGATACAGCAGCAGAACAGGCCCCTTCCTGCCTCCCAGAGCTCAGTCTGGTGGGGAGTCCACACCACAAAGAGGGAGACACACATCAGATAACAAGTACTAAGGAGGAAACGTAAGGTACTTGGTAGAATTTGCCATGTTTTAAAAAGTTGCTCACATCTTACTTTTTGCTAAAACAAAAACAAAAACAAAAACAAAAACAAAAAAAAACCCTCAGAAATCCATCCACTCACCTAATCATGCAAAAAAAAAAAGCAGCTGCTCATTGTCTAGGAGACTGGGTGCTGTGCCAACGCTCTCAGGACGCAAAGATGACTTCGATCTACATGGAACACACAGTCCAGTGAAAGGCTACACATGGAACCAGCCATCACACCACATGACGTGTGCTATGGCAGAGGTACACATCGTGTGCATCAGGAACTTGAAAGCAGCTACTACAGGAAGCCTGACCTCAGTCTGGCTTTCTCTGATGTATGTGGTCACACTTAGCCACCCAATCTCAATTCCCATTACCCCCACATGTGATTCTGCCCCGGGACTGAGTTTTCTATCCACCAAGTTCCCCGAGAGGGTAACTTAGCTTCACTCTAGTTTTCTCACATGTGAAATAGAATGTTAAGGTTTATTTTAAGGATTCAGTGTAAACATCTCATAAGCAATACATACTACAACATTTATCCCGCTCCCAGCATGGCCTTTGTTTTCTAACCAGACTGGTGCTTCCCCCAGTCACTCAGGAATTCAATTTGAACTCTTGGTGACACAAAAATTATGTAGAAATTTAAATGGATATGAAGGTAGTATCTTTTGTTGTCTAATAAGGAAAATGCTAAAAACCAAAACAAACACTTAACACCAAGTTCTCTTCCAAAAAAGCCAAACATACAACAGTTATAAAGAAGCAAAACCTCTTAGGGTTAAAAGTGTCATTTTATTTAGATGTTACTTGTACATAATCTATAATAAGATATACAAACAGATAAAAATTGTTTAACAGGAGTTTTTTTTTTAATACCACTTTAAATTCAATTTACAACAGCATTGGTAATACTGCAAGATGACAGATACTCTGATTTATAAAACAAAAATTACTTGCTACTCTGGCTGATACATTTCCGCTAGTCTTTAATGGATTAAAATGTATCATGTATTTTAATTGCAAATTATTACAAAACTTTTACAACCTAGCCACTTGGTGCTCAGAAAACATTCTGATGTTCTAAAAATTTACTGAGATGAAAATGTTAATTTTGGATAGTATCCTTAGTAAAGAAAAACATCAGTGTAGCCAAGCTTACGGTCCGGGGCTGACAGTGCAAACTCACTTGCCTTGTGCTCCGCCACCTCCTGTGCATGCAGCCACTGGAGACTGGGCAAACTTTCCATCCCTTCCCTACATCTACACTATGAGAAAAATGCTTAGAAGGCATTAAACTAAAACAGACCTGGAGAAGTAATACAGGGGACAATTAAAAATTACCTTACAATTTATAACTGTAATTTAAAACAAAGTTCACAGAAATGAAATGTGCTTTTAAATGTTTCTTCTCCATTTGTTTTGGTAAACGGTTTTTGAAAATGAAACTGAAAATTCAAATCTTCACTTTATTCTTTTCATATAATACCATATTAGAAAAGATCTGGATTTAAATTTCAGAATAAATTGAATTTGCTGGAAAAATACTCTAAAAATAATCTAAACTGGATTTTAGATTATTTTCCATTCTCTGAAAGGTTATGGAACACAACAGGGCAAAAGCTTTTTCACAAGTCATAAAATAGAGTTGAAAATAACTTGATTCAACTACAGGAAGACAACTAATAATTAACAGGCTCATGAATATTTATGAATAAAGTGCCACTAATTTTATTGTAATAAGATACATATAGAATAAATCCTGGCATGGATAGTAAGTAGCTTCTGTGTTCTCTCCATCCTGAGAACAGAAGGGCCATACGAAACAAAGCAGCATTACCAAATGGGAGTTCTAGACCCACATGGGGAACTCCTAATACAAAAGCAACAAGACAGACAAGTAAAGACTTCAGAAGTCTCAAAAGTCCTAAGACTAATGCCAATGCAATAGGCCCTTGCTCGGGGTGGGGGGGCGAAGAGAGAGAAATTAGAAATTTAGAAGTTCATTGATAACTGTTACTTATATTCAAGGAATTTATAGGGACAGCCTAGTGGTGACCAGCTTTAGGAAAAGATGCTGAAGAGCACACCCCCCAGCACCTGGGACAGAGGAGAGAACAGACAGGCCAGGGACGCAGCCTGGAAAAGGGGGTGCAGACATGAGGCTTTCCAGGGATTCAGATCCACACGACTGAACCCAGTGGACAGGCTTTTTGCAATCACTGCCCAGAAGCCAACTGGTGTCCACTTGAGAGACATACACACACACACACACACACACACACACACACACACACACACACTGAGGGGACTTGGGGGCTGGCTGACTTGCTCGGATGCATTAACAAAAACCCCCAAGTCACCATTCTGTTCACATTCCTACCATCACCTCAAACAGCTCTACTTTTAGCTCTGGACTCTTCGCTTCACCATAACTGAGTCACATAACTACAATGCATATGAAGTACTGTTAAGTAGGTTAAGGTCCTTAGTAAGTCGATGGTCTTAGCATATTTTTCAAGTAATATCTATAATCAATGCCTGGCGCACCTGTTTACACAAATAGTTACCTTTCAACCAGAATTACAAAATATAGCGGCTCTCATTCTTCAGTTTCCCCATGGGTCCCTGGTACTGCCACATGGGAGCAAGAGGAAGGGCGGAGGTGAGGGCGAGGTGCTGTGCTGCATGATCAAGGGAATCTCATGAGGTGCTTTGTATCATTTAATGTGCCAACAAGAGAGAGGAGAACCATGTGCTTCTCAGCCAGGGCGAAGGCCCTCCTCACAGGAGTGATCCCTAATCTGGCCCCAGCACCCTGAACGGTGCATAGCTATCAATATCTACTTTCGCCTAAACCTAAGCTTTCAAAATTCAGATCAGGTGGTATAAGGTGCCATCTAAAGCGCTCGCTGTTGCTTGCTGAGGAGCTAAGAACTCCTGCGGCTCACTCTGGACACAGCTGTCAGGAAATTAAAGGAGCAGGGCTCCTTTGCAGCCCAGGCCCGGTGCCGCAGCTCGGCCCAGCTCAGCAGTGCAGCTCCCAGAGTCATGGATCACTTGCATCTGTTCCGGCCGGCTGGTGGCCACGCTGGAGGGGCTGGCAAGTAAGTTGAGTATCATCTCCAATGGCCCCGGAAGGAAAAAGGACCCTGTTTTTCATGATTACTGTTGAGCTGCTGAACTCTCCTGGAAAACCATCAACAGGCATTTAGGAAGCAAATGCCCACAGGGAACCCAGTCTGAAAAAGGCCCTTCCAATTTCGTATTTGACAAGCATGTGCAGAGGCAATGAAATTATTCAGCAGAGCATTCAGATTCACTCAGAGGTCACCAAGCCAAGAAAGTGAAAGCAGAAACATTTGATTCTCCCTATTTGTTAAACTTTTCCCTCTAAAACCAACTTCTTCAGAAACACAACCTTTAAAAAAAGAAAAGAAAAAACCAAAATGGAGAAACAATATCACTTACGGGTTGGAAGACATCACTCTGACATAGTCATTAGTCTTGCAGAGACCTAACACCAGGCAGCTTCACAAACACACAGCAAGTCTGCAGAGTTATATTGATCAGTAAGAGGAAACCCAAACTGCACTAGAGATTCTCATGGCCAAGAGGAAAGCAGATGCTGTTTTCAGGACAATGCGATAGTGACAGCCTATTCCTCATGTGCAGCACAATTTGCTATGTTTAGTGGCACTTAAGTATTACACAGTAAATACTGAAAAGACCCAGAATTTTTGGATGTGCAGAAGCAATATCACATTATTTATACAAAAGGTGCTATGCTACGGGATTAGAATACCACTATTTGGGTGTGGAGACCACTTAACATCTTCAACACTCTCCCACGCGCGGCCTCCCCACCAGCCTCCGCTCAGTCGGACCAGTCATTCTCGTCGAACTCTGAGTCGTCGTCGGAGTCGCTGTACTCCACGGCGATGCGCCGGGACAGGATCGTGGCCACGTCATTCCCCACAGGCTCCCGCTTGGCCTCCTGCTCCCGCTGCTCCTGCACCTTTTTCAGCTGAATTCCTGCAGATGCAACACATGGCTCAGAATCACATCTTTTTGCTGGCTCCGGATTAAAGATAAACAAACAAATATGTCTACTGGACTTTTTTTTTTTTTTTAACTGACACTAAGGATAAAAAGTTTTGGGAATTTGAGGGGAGTAAAGCTCAGGGAATATTAAAAGTTTCATGAGCAAAAACGTGCAAAGTGAGAAGATTTTTTGTAACAAAGTAATGTGTTAAAGTATTAAAAATTCATAATTTCAGTGCACCTGAACACTACCAGAGAAAACTTTGGAGCTGCACCATCCCAGCTGACAGCCGCTAGCCCCATATAGCCTTGTAAGTGTGAACTGGCATGTGGCTAGCAGCTACTCTCTGGGACACTGTAGGCCAGAACACTTCTATCATCACAGAACATCTAGTAGGCAGCGTCAGCATCCAGAGCCTTGGAAACAGTGTTCTACGCTACTCACTCTCAGCTAAAGTGAGAAGTACCTGAGAAACCTTTATTCAGCAATTACTGTTCAAAGGGACATAAAATATAATCACCTGTACTTTCTCACTTAGTAACAAAATTAAGTATTTGATGATTTAATGTTTATTCTTTTTTTTTTGGAGACAGGGTCTCACTCTGTGACCCAGGCTGGAGCACAGCATAGTGATCACAGATCACTGCAGCCTTGACCTCCTGGGCTGAAGCTATCCCCTCACCTCAGCCTCATGAGTAGCTGGAATCACAGGTGCACGCCACCATGCACAGCTAAATTTTATAATATTTTTTGTAGAGACAGAGTCTTGCAATGTTGCCTAAGCTGACATCCATTCATTTTTTAACTGTTTTGAAATAATTTCAGATTTATAGAACAGCTATGACCAGCAGAAAAACATTCCCATATACGTGGATTCCCCAACTGCTAACATCTGACCACATTTATTTCTCAATGTTCCCCTATCATCTTTACACAGGCAGACACAGATGCTTTTCTCTGGACCATTTGAGAGTAAACGGCATATAATGTCCCTCTACCCCTAAAATAGTTCATGTGTTGTTGCCCCCCCACCCCAAAAAATCAAAATCATGAAACTAGTATGGATACAATACTACTATCCATCCCAGAAATATTATTCAAATTTTGCAAAAAGACCCAATCTAATTACAAATAAAAAAGATTATCCCCTGGTTCAGGATCCAATGGAAATTATCTGTGACATTGGTTGTCAAGTTTTGTTAATGTTCTTTAATCTGGGCAGTTCTTCAGTCTTTCTGTTTTACAACCTTCTCATTTTTTGAAGAATATAGGTAGCTATTCTGTATAATGTCTCTCCATTTGGCTGCATCAGATGTTTCCTCAAGATTTGATACAGGTTATGTATCCCCTCTTGGTGGACAGGGCTTGCAAGGTGTTAAAAATGAAGCAAATCCAACACTGTCCTATTATGATCCCAGATTTGACACTGATGAGCTAATGTACCTCTAGGACTTTTTTTAATTGACAAAATAAAAGTGTGCCCATGATGTCCAGGTAAACAGACGACCCAGGGGTCTTTAGAAGGGTGTGTGGGCCACACTGTGGGTCTGGTTAATGGGCATACAAATAGAACGCACAGGCAGTAGCATCACAGCTTCTCTGAAGGACATCCCTGATGCTGAGCTCGTGGGCTGCAGCCAGGCTCCTTGCTCAGTCACTTCCAGATAAGATGACTACACTGTGATCAAGTCTGCGCAGCTCCCCACAGGTGAGAAGCTCTTAGACAGTCCCACCTGTCAGTGACCCTCAACCAACCTGGGCTGGGACCTGGTTAAGAATCCACGGTGTGGGCTAGAGGTTCCCAGGGGCTCTCTGGGCAGCCCAAGACAGGCGAGGCCAGGTTCCCCACCCACTTCCACCTCAGACGTTCCGTTTCCATGTGTTTTGTGGTCAGGGGGTCAGTGCAGGACTTTCATCTGACACAAGGGTTATGCTGTTGACTATTATAGACTCTGAAAAACCACTGGCTTAGCACATCAAGCAAATATCACAAGTCCAGGACAAATTCTTTGTTTAAATAATTAAATCATTAATATGAGCTCACTTTCATTTATACTTTTCCCCTTACAAAGTAGAATGCAGAGAACATATCTAATTAATTAATTGATCATTTCTTATTGGGTTTCTGGTTTCCAGTTAAGTAAAGACTTTCTAATTTCGATTCTTTTTTTTTTTTTTTTTTTTTTTTTTTTTTTTTGAGATGGGTCTCACTCTGTTGCCCAGGCTGAAGTGCAGGGGAACGACCATGGCTCACTGCAACCTTGAACTCCGGCACTCAAGCAGTCCTCCCACCTCAGCCTTCTGAGCAGCTGGGACTACAGGTACGTGCCAACATGCCCAGCTAATCTTTTTGAATTTTTTGTAGAGACGGGGTTTTGCCATGTTTCCCAGGCTGCTCTTGAACTCCTGGCCTCAAGCTATCCACCCATCTTGGCCTCCCAAAGTGCTAGAATTACAAAGTGAGCCCACCGTGCCCGGCCTCAATTCTTTATCACATTGTGTTTGCCTTACACTGGACAAAAAATACATCTACTATTAAAAAAAAAAATCAAGTAAGATCCCTTTAACTCTGTTTTTAGAAACACAGTGAGTAGTCATTTGAAGACAAGGAGGCTGTAGCTGGCTGGAGACATGAAGAAACCTCTTGCTGAAAGGCAGGCTGGGTGTCTGGGGGCTCCACTTACCCATTCGGATAGCAGCGAGGAGGTCGCTTCGAGCATCACTGATTGGTGGCTGTGTAGGCTCTTGCCGCTTCGCCTCCGCTACTGGGGGGCCATGCATCGGGGAGGACGAGAGAGAAGACCCAGGGCCAGGAGGGCCTGGCGGGGGAGGTGGTGGGCCTGGGGGTGGTGGGGCTGTGACCAGGAGCCCGGTGGATGGCGGGTGAGGAGGAGCTGTGTGCGTGGAGCCGGCTGATGTGGGGAATGGGGGTTGCATGGGGATCTGGAGAGGGCTGACGAAGGCAGTTTGTGCAGAGGGAATCACAGGAGGAGGTGGCGGAGGCGGTGGTCCTGACGGGTTGTAATACTCAATTATCTGTGCTGGGAGTATCCTGAGAGAGATATGAGAAACAGTCACCAAGAGAACAACAGAGGGTCACATCCTGTGAGCTCTTAGACTCCTAACAGAGCCATCCCCCAACACAACACGTATTGCCACCTGCACGTCAATCACGGCAGGATGCAAACAGGCACACCTTGCGTCAGTTATTTCCACAGTTCTACATTATTCATCATAACAGAACGCAAGACCTGCTACTGAAATGTACCAAAAAGAGAACCACTCAAAACGTGCAGCACTTCCTGAAGAAAGGCAGAATAAAGCAGCTGACTGCAGAGGCCCGGACGGCAGCGCCAGCCTAGCCTTCACACTGGGGTCTCAAGGCAGTAGCTCACAAACTTGTCTTTTAAGGGTTCTAATGTCAACCAGATTGGGAACTTTCTACATTCTCTAGCCCACTCCTGTGGAAATGCCCCATACCCGCAGTGCCCAGGTGTATCGAAGGCTTTGAAAAGTCACACAGCTAAGACATCTGAATAGAAATCAGCAGATTTTTCATTCTATTTAACCGACTGGCCCATGAGCCCTATCTTTGCCTGACACAGCCTCAAGTCACTCTGGGGATCCTGATATGGGAAATATCCAGGTGTGAGTGGCCAGAGAGAGCATCTGAGAGCAGAAGGACTGTCATGCAGGCAGGGGTGTGCAGATGTGTGTCAGCAATGGACACCTACACAAGGTAACTTTCCTGGGCACCAACTCTGAGGAATTAAGTATCTAAAGACTAGGGTAAAGCCAAAAAAAAAAAAAAAAAGAGAGAGAGAGATGGGTGCCTAAACTGATAAACACCTGAACATGAAGGTCTCTGAATTCTACTTGTCAGGAAATAGGGTGGCCAGAGGTCAAGAAAGGAGATTTTGGTCAAGTCTGAGAAGTGAGGTATGAGAGCTCCATGGTGTGGTCTTCTTGTCTGTGACAACAATTCTCTGTGGTCCACCCAGGATGTGTCCAGAAACTTGAGGGTTTGGGACAGGTTCACAAAATTGGCATTTCACCTTTTATCAATGCCTTGGCTTAAGGAGCCATTCAAACACTTGGAGTGTGTGTAAGGAACATGCACGTGTGCAGTGTGGCCTGAGACTCCGCTGGTAAGTCTGAGCTTACACTGCACCTGCTTTACTTCGCACAGAAAGTCAGAGCTGCTAGCATCTATATCCAGTCATCTTTGACTCTCTCCTGGCCTCTAAAATATCAGTTAAAATTCTCATACGACATATAGCAAGATTCAAATGCAAGGCCAGTAGGGATTAGGGTACAAGGCGCACTGAGTTACCCATAGTCTGCTGGAGCCATTGGTGCAGAGGCCTGGGACCCCTCTGGGGCCTGTGGGGGAGGCGGGGGCGGCGGCTGCTGAGGTCTGTTGAGAGCCATGTGCCTCGCCGAGGCAGACGGGGGCCGGTACTCATGCTCCCCGGCCTGGCTTGCAGGCCCGTGTGGCGATGCGTCGCCAGCTACGTAGGAAGGGGTCACCGGCTGGGGGTGCAGAGAATGGTTGGGAGTAGCTGGGTAAGAGTAATCGGTAACGTCTGATGCATGTGACCTGGCATTTGAGAACAAGAGGTGGGGGAAATCTAAATTAAGTTAAAAATTGTCAGCTAACAGGTATGTGCATGTATTTGAATAATAACATTGCTAATGCACAAAAATCAGACATTTATTTGCTTTACTATCAACTAGGTCTAGCCCCGTGAGAGATTTCAAGCAGCAACATAATTATTATAAGTCAGCAGCAAGCCCCAGTGTTACATGGATTCAGATTCACAGCTTTGAAGTGAACAAGTCAGACAGACCGGCAAACAGGCAACAGCAGAGCCTCCTTTTCACGGTATTTCAGCATATTTTTTCTCTAAGAAAGAAGGCTACAAGAGAAACCATTCAATTGAAACAGGATCTAAGACAGAAGATTTCAGTGGCAATGAAACTGACAGCATATAATTAGAAAACATAAAATGGCAGGTGAACTGGATAAATATCAACAGTAAGAATAGGAAAAGAAATCAAGAATGCAGTATAGTGAATCGTATTTTTCTTAAACAGAAGAAATATATTTAACCAAAGGAGAAGAAAGCAATGCAGTGCACTATGGAAAGGCCTTCTTTCCACAGTTTTCTTTGCACACACACTGGGTGTGAAACTCTGAAAGGGATGGAAAATTGGATTAGTGCAGCAGAGCTGAGCAAGACACTGGGTGCAGAGACAGGACTCCTGCTAAGCCCTCAGGAGGAGAGGAAGGACCCAAGTGTGGCAGCCGGGCAGCACCGTGGGCATTAGTAAGACAGTCACGCACTCCTGGCCCAGGTTACGGGACACGTGGCCAGGAGATGCTGTACATCCTCTCATGGCGGCGGAAGCAGGGGCAGCCTGAGGCTGGGAACCCAAAGAAAGTAAAATAACAAACCCGCTGGGCACTGTGTCCTCTTTGGCGCTCCCTGCCTGCTCCAGTTTCTTTGCGTCACTCATAAACTCAATGCCCATTTTCCTTCTCTCCCACTCTTCTTTTCTTGTTCTGACTTTTCTCACATTTACTTGCTGGTTTCTGTTAGGGTTCAGCTTGTGTTTCTCTCTCTGAAGGAAATACCAAACACACATTGGGGGTGCTGAGGGAGCAGGGAAGATGCACGCTGCATTTCTGTCTTTGGAATTCCTGTCGGTAGATTTTCTTAACCGGAGCACCGTGTGGCACAGTAAAGACTTCCAAATGAGAAGAGACAGCTTCTTTTCCCCCTTTTCTCTTTCCTTAATTGAAGTGTAACAACTAATAACTACTAATTTTTCTTCCCTAATTGCAGTATGAAATCTGGATTATGGTACACTTCTGCTTATGTCTTTTGAACTAGGTGAGCTGCTAGCAAATGACTTAAAAATAAATTTAATGGGGAAAGGACCTGACCTGTATTTCAATGTAGCATATTTTAAAAATGTAAGTATCTATAACCCTTGGAGACACACATGATGTTTGCTTGACTCTGTGCATGACTACAAGTCACTGGCTTTGAGCGTAACCTTTTAAAGGAAATAGAGCCCTCCAGCCAAATACGTACAGCTTCTGATGAGATGAGGGCAGGAAACTATAAATACTGTGGCATAACTGGGAGAGCTATCCCTGTCAAGGAGCCTCGCAACACAGGAAAAACAGGAAGCAAGGAAAAGGAGCTAACCAGAGAAAGAAGGAAGAGGCAACAAGTATCTGAAATAGAAATCAGAGATTACAGGGCAGAGCCAGGGGCTCTGAGGACGACAGGGGCTTGGGGAAGAGGGGATTGGTCAGTTAAATAAGGAAGGACCATAGAAAAGGGATACACCAGTGGGTAGGGGGAGGAAGAAGGAGCAGGCAGCTGCTGGAGACCAGCCCCACTCCCAGTGGGAAGGCAGAAACCAGCTGCAGACGCACAGCCAAGGTGGAAGTGAGCGGAGGTCCCAAGGCCTCCTGATGGTCAGTGATCACCTGTTACAGAAAAGAGGGCTGGGAGGGCCGGAGATGACACTCACACGGAAGGAGGTGGAGGAGGAGGAGGGCCTGGAGGGTGGGAGACAACACTGACATGGGAGGAGAAGGGCTGGGAGGGCCGGAGATGATGGGAGGAGGAGAGACAGAGACGACACCAACATGAGAGAAGGAGGAGGAGGAGGAGGAGGAGGAGGAGGAGGCGGAGGAGGAAGAGGAGGAGGAGGAGGAGGAGGAGGAGGAGGACGACGACGACGAGGAGGAGGAGGGCCAGAGACAACACCAACATGGGAGAACGAGGAGGAGAAGGAGGGCCTGAGACGACAGGGACACGGGAGAAGGAAGAGGAGGAGGAGAAGGGCCGGAGACAACAGGGTCACGAGAGGAAGTAGGCACAGCAGCAGAGACTCAGTGTGAGAGGTCAGTAAGTCCCCCAGGGTGTTTTGGGAAGAGAGGCGGGAAGAGTCAGAGGTCTGCACCAGGGCCCATAACTGGATGAGAAAAAACAAGGACAGTTAGGCATGGAGGGGTGGGACTCCCTGAGTGGCAGTGACAGAGAGCTGGTCATACAGCAGGCAAGCACTTCCCAGCGCTCATCTGAAATTCATGCTCAGGAACAAGCCATTCCTAACAATCTAGAGAGAGAGCAAAAAAACATAAGATGGGTTACAGTATACACACACCATGAAACCTGGTGTTTAAATTTCCCTCTGTACCTTGGATGCACTCAGAGGAGCGGATACAACCATTAAAAATCATGTTTCTAAATAATACTTAAAACATAGAATAGTTTTTAAAAGTCAAAGGAAAGAAAACAGCATGACTCTAATTTCGTAAAAGAAAAATAAACACATGTAGAGAAAAAGACTAAAGAGAAAAATATAATAAAATGCATACAGTGGTTTCTCTGGATGGTGGGACTATAAATAATATTTCATTTAAACTTTTTCCTGTAACTTCCAGATATCATAAGCATGTCTTATTTTATAATAAAACAGTGACACACTGCAGTAAAAACAATTTAAATTTCTACATTAAGGGTTATAATCCAAATACAATGATGAGTTATAATCTATTTATCTGATAGTAAATAATGTAGGCAAATACTGAGAAGCCATGGGCCACAGGAGACAACAAAAGGAAATTCTGAAGAAGCAAAACCGACAACCAGACTTACTTTTTGAAAATTAAGAGGAATGCAGATGTACAGAAGCAACATAAATACAAAGGCGGACTATATCTGAATGACCATCCATTCCATTCCCAATGTGGAATAAGCTCAGAGGCTAAAAGGAATATCATTCAACTGAGAGATTGTTAAAAATCCACCATTTTCCCATCTGCATCTATTTTTTAAAAGTCTATATAGGATAAAAACAAAGTACATGTTTTGCACGAGGAAACAAACATAGTTAAATTATTTAGAAAAAAACAAAAAAGCAGATTGACATCATGGGAGCTATTAAGTTCCTATGTTTCTCCCCACCCAAAGAACTATGAGCAGAACTGTATCATTCTTACATTCTATAGACATAAGCTGACACTAAAATTCAAATGAGGCTAAAACTCAGTTAAAGCTCCAATAATTCTCTAATATTTAACAAATAACAGATTGTACAGAAAAATTACCCAGAACTTGCCTTACATCCTACCAATGACTTAGAGATCTCCCAGGGCAGGAACACTGAAGGCATGTAATATGTTAAGAGCCTGTGCTAAACGCTGAGTCTTACAAAGGTAGAAAAAGAGAAAAAGGACACAGATATAACCCAAGGTCCAAGCTGCTGCTGTTTTTGAAACACTCTTCACATACTGCAAGAATTCTCTATTCAAATTTTAAATGCCGATGAGTTTATGCCATTGGAAGAGCACAACTTTACAAGAGCAGAAATAGAAAACTGAATCAAATGTTAAAATTGACTAGTTATTTCCTGTTATTTAATGAATTTCTTTGGTGCCAAGTGTGACTTAGTGACCATATCATTCACACTTGCAAGAAATATTTTTACTTAACTGCTAATAAATTGTAAAGTAAATACCAACAGAATCATTCTCCTGAAATTAGAATATACGTTATCTGATGGAGGAAATAAATCTGTTTTGTTCATCATTTTTTTAAGAGTTATTAAAGGGAACAATGAAGGTACTCCTTAGTTACTTTACCACCTGCCAATCATTTTTAGATACCAAGTGGCAAAGGAAATTCAACATTCCACGCTGAGAAAGGATCAAATGATTATTAATGTAAAAAGGGATAAATGATTGTTAAAGCAAAAACTTAAATCATAGGCAGTTACCCCAAATTCAGAATCAGTGTTAAAATAGTACATCTAGATAAACTTGACAATACATTTAAGTTAAGAGAGTTTTTTTGAAATCAAAGGAACCCAATGTAAAATAACACTGTCTTCAAGTATTATTTCAAAATCAAATTACAGATATATCATTTCTAAGGAAAATCTTAAGACATCATGGGCCGTATAAACCCCAGAGCTACTGATGCATTTCAAATGATAATAAAACCAGGTAGTTCCCAGTGGCCCAATCATCAGGGCTGAGGGAGCAGTGACACACACACACCTAGTGTCTGGGGACAGGGATCCCTCGGAAGACGCTCCGTGGTACACACTCTGAGACAACCTGTTGTCGGGTCTAAGCTCTTTGTCATATGCCATCATATTCCACTCCTGGCGCCTGTTTCTGGCTTTTCTAACCTTTTTCACCTCACGGGTGGTGCCATCTATACGCTTTTGCTCCTGATGTCCAGGAAAGGAAAGAGAGCATGTCAAGACAGAAGGGAAAGGAAAACAGTTGGTTAAATGCAGTTATAATGCACAAGACCCATGCCTGATGAACAGATAAGACACATTCACATTTCGATTACCCTAATGTTACGGAAACTCTAAAGCAGTGTACTCTTATCCAACAGAAGCAACAAAACAGAATCAACAAAAAAACTTCACCTTGAATAGGCTTATAACTTGTTGTAAAACTAAACAAGGTCTTTCATATCTATATCATATAGGTGAATGACCTGGCAACACCATACAGAGAAATTACTTCCTGCCATCACACAATTTGGACTGATTTGTTAACATACAATTATCTTTCAAAGAAAATAATTCAAAACATTCTGTTCCCAATTTCTAAAAGATTATAGAATAAGTGAATCTTGTAAATAATTTAACACAAAACTAACTGAGATAAAAACTTACCTGCCCATAAAAAGAGCCATTCTTCCTCTAGCCCTGGAAAATGTTTCATTCAACAAATACCTAGGTCTTACATAGGTGCTTCTTGAAAGGTTAGAACTTATTTCTGTGTTTGCCTGTAAGTTTTTCCTGCCTCCTTCATAAAATTTTATTATCTTTAAGGACAAGAATCATGTTCCTCTATTTCCTATGTTTCCCTCTTGTCTTATGGTATCTCAAAACAGTGTTTTTACACAGAATACACACTCAATACATGCTGGCTAAATGATCAAATCCACAGCCAGGCAGCAAACATGAACTTCTAGTGCTATGCCCGAGGTACTGTGCCAGGCACTGACAACACAAATGGCAAACACACACACACACACACACACACACACACACACACACACACACACACAGACATGGCATCTGCCCTCATGGAGCCTGCAGTCCACAAGAGAACACGAATAAATGTACTATTACAAATGTATTGTAAAAATAAACGTTATTTTTATAAATATATTTTTATGTTTAAACATATATTTAAATATATATAAAATGATGTCTAGTCTGGAAGTCAGGGAGGTGTCCTGGAATGACTGAGAGGCAAGATCTGCATTGAAAGTGGCATCGATTCTGCAGAGGAGTCTGGGTCAGGTGCATGACAAGCAGAGAGGACAGACTGTGCGAAGACTCTGGGGAGGAAGACGGCACTGCACTAAGGAGAAATAAAAGAAGGTCAATGGTACATGGGGGTGAATGGTCCAAGGTCTGTAAGGCAAGAAGACCTTAGAGGCCTTTTTCCTAGCAGCAGTGGGAACCCATTAAAGAACAAGAAGGGAAGGCTGACATGCCGAGAAGGCACTGGAGAAGATCTCTCTGTGTTGCGGAAAACGGATTAAAAGAGGGAAGACAGGGACACAAGTGAGAAAGCTACTAAACGGATATGGCGTGAAGGGGCGGCAGGTGGCCCAATGGTGTGCTGAAGACAGAAAACTGGACCATTTTCAGAGGCATCCAGAAGGCTTTAGTAATGGATCCACAGAGGATGTGAACATGAAATTCACAGAAGATAAAGAAATGGCTAATAAGCATATGAGAAGATGTAACACAGAGTCAACCTTTCATCAAAAAAAAGTAATATTCAGGACTGGGGAAGTCCTGGTAAGAATATAAACAAGTTCTTCAGTCTTTTAAAGATTAGGGGCAATATAATTGTACTTTCAAATTTTAAAATTCACATTCTCTTCAATAAGAGCAATTCAGCTTCTAGAAATTTATCCTGCAGAATTACCTGCACCTAAGTACAGGGATAACCATGGCAGTACTGTATGAGCAACAGTAATGGGCAATTTACGATGCACTTACATTTCAGAATACTACACAACTATTAAAAAGAATGAAGTACATTTTTAATAATGTCAGTGTGTCATGTGCAGTACAACTCTACATATACACAAATACTTGCTATCTGAGCATTTTACAACCAGCATGTATTGTGTGTGTACTTTCAAAAACCAAAGGAAAAAGGGGAGGAGGGAGATTTCAATGTGATTCCAATATGCATTCTGATTAAAAACCATCCTATTAGAAATAATGAATATTCCCCTTACTTTTTAAAAGATGTATGCTGACAAATTCAGGGATGAAGTGTTGTAGTATCTGTAACTTTCTTTACCACGGTTCAGTCTCCAAATCTACCTATCAACATGTACACAGGACGTACAAGTGCGTGCAAACCAAACAAGAAAGAATACGAACCGTGGTGAATCCAGGCCCCCGCTACACTGGCCTACACTAAAATCCTCAGAAGCTGCCCAACTGGTTCCTCCCTCAGGATGATCTTAGGCTTTGCTACCTAGAAGCCTCCTCAGTTCGGAAGCACGCCACCTGGCCTGTCCCCCACCCTCCGGTCCTCCCCACCCAGCAACCTCCCACTGTCGAGCTAACTTCCGCTCCCCTCCCTTGGATCCCAGCCTGCACGATGCCTCCTTAGAGAGGCCTTCCTCGACCCCTCACTGCGTGTACGCTGTCGCACCACTAGGTCATCTCAGAGTGCTCTGTACTTCTTCACCACACTAACCGATTGTGTAACTATATATTTGAAACTTCATATTTGTGTAATTTTTAATGTTTATAAAGTATCGAACTGAAGGAAACAAAGTTCAAAAACAGTGGATTTTGTAATCCTCAAATTTTCTAAACTAATTTTTCCTTCAGATTTGTCAACTGCAAATTGAATGTTACTTGGGTTTCTAAAAACCTGAGAAATAAGGAATATCTTTGCTTCATTTCTATTTTTGTACAAAGCAGACCTACATGAACACTTTGAAACCTCTCTCCCACTTTCTGCATTTCCAAGGGCTGCATGATTATTTAATGCCTGAGTCCTTCACTATACTGTCTTCTCCATGAGGATGGTAATCCTGTTTTTTTCCACCACTGTTTATCCAGCATTTAGAAGGCATTCAACATCAAGTCATTATGTAAGTGAATGAAAGAAATTCTTATCAGAAAGGTACGTGTTTGAGGAATGTAGAATGGGACAAAACAGCCCAGGAAATAACAAGTGATTTTAAAGACACAATATCCATGCATGAAAATTGTTTCCCCTTCAAGAAGAATGGCAAAACATTAAACAGTTTTGCAGAAAGCATCACTGAGAAGGCACACCTAGAAGGCCTTCTAGAAAAATAGGCACATTTTAAGGGCAGGTAAGTCCCAGCATTTTTCCCTGTAACTATAAAAAAGCATGAGGATTAAGACAAACATGCTTTTAAATATTAGTTGCTTTTCCACTCAAAAGATTGGTATCTTTCTTTTTTCTTCACTTGAATAATCTGTAAAACCTAACAACTTTTCCAAGACATCCCAATTAAATCTCCCAAAGCCATGAGCACAAGAGGACTGTGTGAATGACCGAGTCCTTTGCATCCTTTCCCGGAATCCAGCCATGGTGACTTACAGCAGCACAGTCTGCAAACCGCTCGTGTTCCCTTCCCTTAAATGTTGTTTTCGATTTTCAAATTCTCCTTCAAACCACACTGTCACTCCTACTGGGCCAACATACCTCAATGCCTCAAAACCCTAAGGCCACCAACTCACAAAATGCTAAGCATTTCTCCTAACTAAAGTGCTCTAATCTGTCAAGCAAACTGGATGGTCATTTTAAAATATAGCTGACATATATAAATATTGCTAAATACTTGCCCTTAGAGAATTATTCCTCTCAGTGGCCTAAATTCAATTTCTGGGCCCCAAAGGGACAATTTTCAAAACACAAATCCCGTAACCTGTGTAGAGTGGGTTTCTCCTTTGAAGACTGCTTGTAATGTAGCTATTTCTCAACCTTCAGACTTAGAATTCTCTTCCTACCCCTACCCCTTAAAGGGAGGTTTATCTTCAATAAATCCTATCCCCTGAACATGCAAATCACATGTGCTTCTCCATCCCATGTAAACATCTCACCAAGATTTTAATTACAGCTAGAAGGCAACCCAACAATTAAAAATGTTAAAAAGACAAAAGTACATCATTGTATCTGATATGGAATGCTGACTACTTTATAAAAATTTCAGAAAGCAGGAGAGAAGTTACTAAAACATGGTAACAAAAACAAAGTTTAGGAACTACTTTTGTTAAAGCAAAGCAAGTGCTGGAGAACAAATCAGTTAGTATTGACTGGAAAATAGTTTTACTGGGTTGGACGGAATTGTTGGGATCTTTTTGTGAGAAATGCAACCACAAAAAAACTTCAGCACTGTAACCAACATCTCAACCATTTAAATAATTTATTATTTCTAAACAAGAGTCACCTTTAAACATTAATATGCACATTTCCCATACTAAAATTATTTACCTTTTGACGCCTTTTCTCTTTCCTTTTGTCTTCTGTGTCCTGGAGCATTTTTTCTTTCCAGAGGTCAAAGAAATAGGAAGGATCAGTATAGAACTTCAGCCCGTCCTTCTTGTCATCTCTGCAAATCAACGTATTGTAAGTTGGAGAAGAAAAGACTGTTAGAAACTTTTACATGTAGGGTAACGTTGATTTGAACGCATGGGATTATAACATCTACATGGGGCACTTAAACCATCCTACACATATTAAGTCTTTAAGTTTCCTTATTTGAAAAAAATGTGAAAACATAAAATAGCAACCTGTTGTAGAATGATTAGGTTAAAAGTACTCTTGCAAATTTAGAATCAAGTATAGAAAATTGCTCTGAAAAAAAGAAATCAAAACATGGCTCATATTCAGCAATTTATAATACCTCAATTATTTCAGGAAAGTTTTTGTTTACTCCAACATGGGGCTATACAGAGAGACGGATGGATTCTTAGTAAATACACATTCACTTCTACCCTGCAGCTTCAATATCATTAGGATAAAAATTAAGTACTCTATCCCCTTTTCTCAGTAAAGTTTGCCCAACATCCATAAGTTCCATTTTGAAAGAAACAGAATATTTATGGGGCATAAATGTGAGGAAAAACAGTGATGAACTATGTATTTTCAAACTGGAAGCAACCTACACAGAAACTTTATTCACTTGTAGCCCTTTCATTTTAAAGCACTGTCACAGATAATTACTGTGGTCTAGAGAATATTTTAAGTCTTCAAATAAGTAACTCATTTATCATAAAACCAATGATGCAGCTAGCAGAGGTCCAAAGCTGTCCTAGGAATCAACAGTCACGATCAAAACCAACACGATACAAAGTAAACACTGTTTTCTATTAATGCTTTAAAAAGTATCTGGCTCGAAGACTACCTTCAAAAGGAGGAAGAACATTTTATATTATTTCCTATCAGTATTTCAACAAGTCGTTAAGGAACACAGAGGAAGCAAAATCAGTTAAATGAGTATAGGAGAGTTTATGCCCAAACAGTCAAAGAAGGCTAACTGAATTATTCAGAAGGAAAAAAAAGGTCGGTCATTAAAGCCCCTGCTATGCCATCTCCTGGTGTCTTAAACCATCAAATACCAAGGCTTGGGTGCCTATGTGGCTATTTTAGTCACTATGTCTGAAAATCACTGAAGAGCCAGTAAAACTCACACTATACCTTAATCTTTGACTATTAATGTCCTTCCTTTCTTTTCCTAGTTTCCTAATTGACAGGCATCCTGTATAATACAGATTTTATTAATAACATTATGAGAAAGAAAATTTGTTTCCCTAAGATACCAAGGCCTTGCATATAGGCAGAGGTCTAGAAAAAGCTGCAACATTTAAGATGTATACGATGTACATTTCTTTTCTAAAAAATGGAGCCAGTACCTTAGTGAAAGTAGGGACTCAAGTAAGCAAATGTTAATCTTGACAAGAATATAAACAGATATGTTCTTTTAAAAAATTATTATTATACTTTAAGTCCTGGGATACATGTATAGAATGTGCAGGTTTGTTACACAGGTATACATGTGCTATGGTGGTTTACTGCATCCATCGACCCATCATCTACACTAGGTATTTCTCCTAATGCTATCCCTCCCCCTGCCCCCCATTCCCCAAAAGGCTCTGGTGTGTGATGTTCCCCTCCCTGTGCCCATAGGTTCTCATTGTTCAACTCCCCTTTATGAGTGAGAACATGCGGTGTTTGGTTTTGTGTTCTTCTGTTAGTCTGCTGAGAATGATGGTTTCTAGCTTCATCCATGTCCCTGCAAAGGACATGAACTCATCCTTTTTATGGCTGCATAGTATTCCATGGTGTATATACGCCACATTTTCTTTAGCCAGTCTATCACTGATGGACATTTAGGTTCCAAGTTTTTCCTATTGTGAACAGTGCTGCAATGACCATACATGTGCATGTGTCTTTTTAGTAGAATGATTTATAATCCTTTGGGCATATACCCAGTAACAGGATTGGTGGGTCAAATGGTATTTCTAGTTCTAGATCCTTGAGGAATCACCACACTGTCTTCCACAATGGCTGAACTAATTATACACTCCCACCAACAGTGTAAAAGTGTTCCTATTTCGCTACACCCTCTCCAGCATCTGTTGTTTCCCACAGCTTCTAAACACTTAATTTTTCAGTCACTTAGGCTGGGGCATAGTGGCCCAGGCCTGTAATCCCCGCACTTTGGGAGGCCAAGGAGGGTAGATCACCTGAGGTCAGGAGTTTCAGACCAGCTTGACCAGCCTGACCAACACGTTGAAACCCAGTCTCTACTAAAAATAAAAAATTAGCCAGGCTTGGTGGCACATGCCTATAATCTCAACTACTTGGGAGACTGAGGGAGGAGAATCGCTTGAACCTGGGAGGCAGAGGTTGCAGTGAGCTGAGGACAGGACATACCACAAGGGATTGAGAGACAGTGTATGAAAGAGGGACATAAGACAGGAAGTGACAGCAAGTATGGGAAGAAAGTGCTGAGCTGGGAGAAGGCAGGAGGGGTGTTTAGAAAAAGCGTTTTTAGTTGGTGTCTTCATATTATGTTTTGCACTAATATATTTTCCTTGGAAGTCTGGTCCTGATAATGTGTCCTACCTACGATTTTCCAGTAACAGAAGGTTAATTTGTTGATTTTCACCCTTCAAAACCCCTACCACTACAGAATACATTTTTTCTGAATTAAATAGTGAATGTCTCTGCAGTGTTGAGACAGGTATTTTGCTGCATTATAAACGAATTATGCAGTTACTTTCAAACTGACTTTGAATCTAAAGAACAACAACATAACCACACACAATACTGTTATACAATAATGTACTCACTTCTACTTAAGGGAGCTATATCTAAAAGCTAAAATCAGAGCTCACATTTCTATTGTTAAACGTATCAATATGTTGAAAAACTAAAACTTTAATAATTATGTACCAATGAGTACCTTCAATGCAATTACTGTTTTCAAAGTTTGAAGCAATTCTGAATCTTAACCCAGATGAGCCATCAAGGACAGTCCCAAGCAATGCATCAGTTTGCTCCCAGTTCTGCCCAGCTCTCCCCTCATCTCTTAGGAAAGGCTCTGGCACACAAGAAGCTATACCTGTACGGGGTCAAGATGTTCAGAGGTGGTGGCTTATCACTCTGGTTGTAAATATCAGCAACAGGATTCGGAATGCTGTTCTTTGAAACCACCTGCTGGTCTTGGACTGTAGAACTTTTGAAAGCTTTTTTCATGTTGATATCCTGTAGTGAGACTATTTAGAGAAAATCCCCCAAGTTGAGTTATATAGAAATATTTTTAACTGTTTAGAAATAAGTACCATTTGACTCACAATCAAAAACACCTCCTAGAACAAGCAAATAATATTTTTTATTGTCCATTTAAAACCATGCTTAAATAGCAAGTGAATTCCTTCCCTTTCATAGATAACAGCTATCACTATGAAATGAGGTTAAATTATGTTTTTTTTGTAGTAATCTAATTATTTCACAAAATTTAATATTAGAGTAACATTCTTTATTTAAATAGCACATCTCAGAAACCACACAGGAATATAGTTATGAATGTAACAGGCATGTAAATGCAAAGATTTGAATATCCTAAGGAAAACATCATTCAAACAACATTAGTTTAAATATAATGCACGTGGGAAATAATTCTGCAAAAATTACACAAATGGAAATAACACATTAAGTTTTTCTGAAATGAACATTAGGAAAGATGGCAAAGCTTTTCAACATGCATCTAGCCCCAGAAATTAAGTAGCTTAATTGATGATACAAAATTACACTAAGGATTCAGAAAACCAGGGCTGGGTAAAGTTCTTTCTTGTGCTTATACAGCACATTTCATTTATTAATTCATCTGACTTTCATCAAACTTTTTGAGGTGGACAAACTAGGCTATTAATCTACCTTCTCAACCACTGAAGCTGAGATTCAGGAATGTTAAAACTCCAAAAACTCCAGCAAAAAAAGTGGCAAGACCAAAATGGAATACAGACTTCCTAAGTTGCAGGCAAGTATTTTGTCTATGGTAACATCCATGGCAAGGAAAGCAATAAGGTGAAATCTTGTTTGGAAAAGGATTTTAAAGATATAACATGTACTATAAAATCTCATAAAATTTAATCTATAGATTAATCTTTTCCAGGGTAAGGTTTATCATAAGCATTCTAATGGCAATAGCCAATAAAAAGTTGAAGAAAGATGAATAGCTATTAAAAATCACTTGTGATACTAATTTAAAACGTGAATGATTGGTTTAAGATGTTGAGAATTCCTTATTGGAACAGACCAAGTAATAGTTATTGTTGGAAAAGTAAGAATGTCTCTATAATGGATATTAAAATTAATGTTCTACATTTTTGTTATATTTGTAATTCACTAATCAAATTTTGACCTTTGAAAAAGAACTGAACATGAAATAACGTATCTTTTTTAAATAATGAAAAATGAATTCCACAAATAACTAGATTTTTTAAAAAAATAAAAGCATTATTTCTTACCAATACTACTCTATAGGTATAGGACAAAAATCAGATGCTAGTATCTTTTTAAAGCAACAAGAGAAATTGTTAACTGCCATTATTTAAAGGTAAAACTAAATTTTAACCTAAATATTTTTCTCAAATATGAAGGGTATATTTTGTACTTTTAAGCATATTTTCTCCAGCTCAATCTGGGTCTTTCATTCAAGATACTGAAAGTAAAATTTTAAAAAAGGAATTGTTGCTAGTTTTAATTTTGTTGAAACTGACAATTTCAGGGTATTTATCATCAAGTGACTATCAGTTAACTATACAATGCTTGTCAATATTAACATTATTTTAAAACCTGAAGCCTAAAGGCCTTCAGCAAATGCTATTTCTGAGAAGGTTAATAAAGTTTTTACATCAGCAGAATCACTAAGATTTTACAGGCATCAATCCTAACAAAAGCACCAGGTGCTCATACCTTCCCTGTGTCACACAAGGTATGTATAACACTGTCTCAGTTGGACCGTATCTCTAGAGTGATTCTGTAATTTTTAGTTAAGAAACTATTTTAAAAATAACTATCAGTAACCTAAACTGGGATTTCTAATTTGTTGAAGCATTTAAAACAAATACTATACTTGTTATATTTTTTAAGAGTATAGAGAGGAGGTCGACAAGATATGAATCTTTTCATCATGAATTAACCCAAAGTTGAAGGGTTTTCCCTCACTATTCTTCTAGGAAAAGACAAGATGAAATATCAGCATACCACCCCAAGGAAAAAGCAGTAATTACACTGCGATTAATTACTACCATCCTGTCAACATCACTTCTAGCTCACTGCTTTCAGGCAATTACCTACCCTCTTCCACTGTTGAATCCAGCTGGGTGACTTTGACAGCGAGGCGATCAATTCTGTCTTGAAGAGAATTTGCTCTGATGTAGAAGTTGTTAGCCTCATTAAACAACTCACCAAATATGTCTTCGGCATGTTTGCCTATAGAAGAAAATGAATGGAGAAAGCCATCTGTTAGGGAGCTGATGAGGCGGCCCTCACACATCCTCATCAGTGCTTACTCCTGTCAACACGTGGGATTTTGTGCAAACAAGTATGAAAATAAAGTGTCACAGTCCAAGGCCTTTAGAACTTCTGATGTTTATTAGAGATACTCATATAAATGTAAAATTGACTCAGAGTTGAAGAATTTTAAAATATCCCAGATAATATAGAATCTTTATTGCTACATGAGCTATGACTCAAGTTGCTTTCCACTAACTGCACCTTAAGTTCTCATTTTTCATGCTTTAAGTATAAATACAATCTCAGGAACCAAACTTTCACTTTATTCCCCAAGATAATTCAACTATCATTTTGGCTTTTAAATCTGGGATTTTATCTCATTTACAATCAGAAACATTAGATATCTTATTTGTGCCTAACACTTTCCAACGGCATTAAATTCTTCTAATTAATATTTTGAAATCTAGGTATATAGTGCTGACTTTCACACTGTCTATAAACGAAGATTTTGAATTCTGAGTTAAATTTTTCTGCATGGCTCATTTCTACATTCCTCTGAGTGCTAGATATAACTCTCACTTTTCTTAAAACGTAACATTTCTGAAAATTTAGCAAGCCAGATAAGAATCATTATCTGCTTAACACTGAATTTCCAAGTCCTGACACATTAAATAACCGCCTACTCTAAGTGTGCAGGGCACATCTCACCTTAACTTTTCTGAAGGAGATAGCTACCACTCTTTTTATTTTCAGTCAGTGTATCATGAGGTCAGGAGTTTGAGACCAGCCTGGCCAACATGGTGAAACCCTGTCTTCACTAAAAATGCAAAAATTAGCCAGCCGTGATGGCATGTGCCTGTAATCCCAGCTACTCAGGAGGCTGAGGCAGGAGAACCGCTTGAACCTTGGAGGCAGAGGTTGCAGTGAGCCAAGATCATGCCACTGCACTCCAGCCTGGGCAACAGAGCAAGACTAAAAAAAAAAAAAAAAAAAAAAAAAAAAAAAAAAAAAAAAAAATGAGAAAGAGAACCTGAACCTCTCAGGAAGAAAACTTGATTAAAATTAAGAATAACTCTTTTAAAGTTATTGTGGTGTTTTATATTTTATACATTGCTTTCACAGCTGCTTTCTGTACTCTTTGCTATAATCTATGAGACCATGAACTACGTCTGTTCAATGTTTTAGCTCTAGCCCTGTGTCATGCTTCCAGCACACACCTGTTCAATGAATAAGTGAGCCTGGGAGGTAAACAGGAAGTTAATGTTTTCATTCTTTGGCTGACTAAACTGAGGATCGGAAAGGTGATCTGTCCAAATCCCATGGCTAGTACGTGGCAGAAATAGATGCAAAAAAAAAAAAAATATATATATATATATATATATATAGTCTTCCAACTTTCCAACTTTCAGTTCTCTGCTTTTACCACATAGCTCCCTGGACTCCCTTAGCTGCAATCTTCATGAATTATTTCATGCCATGAAACACTCAATAATTTCCTATCTACTTAATGAAAAGGACTAAAATATTTTACTGCTTAAATGGTTACACCCAGACACTGGGAATGAATTCTTATGCATTTAAAATTAGTATAATTTCATAGATTCTAACTGAGTAACTGTTTTAACAAGAAGAATTTCTCTTAGAAAATAAGAATATATCAATAAACACATACCCCATCCCCCATCAAAAAAGAAGAGAAAACCCCAGATTCCAGCTTCCCGCTAAGCACTAAGTTGTTTCTCTTAAAGCTCAATATCCATAGCATGGTCTTCTGGGTTTACCTAAAATTCTGTTGACAGTTCCCTCTCTCATAATATGCAAAATGGTTCCACAAAGGCAAAAAATAAATAAATAAGGCCTTCACTCACACTATATGCATTTTAAAATACTGTAACCAGCTGTGACATCCAGAATTAATGTTTGTTTACTGCTTTACGAACTCTTTCCTGAGCTCCAGACTTGTTGTCTAATTAAATACTGAACAGCCCCATGTTGGTGTCTATTAAGATTCTCAAATCTTGTACAAGTTGAAACATAATTCCTTTTCACCTTACCTCAAACCTGCATCCCATGTTGAAAAGCATCCACTATTCAAAATGAAGCCCAAGCCAGAAATGGTGTCACCATGACAGCTCCCTCTCTCTACCGGTAACTTAACACCAATCTTGTCCCTTCTACACCCACTTCCATCTTGCGCCAGACCCTCATTTCTCTCCTGAATCATACCAATAGCTTTTAGATTCACCTCCCACCCTCAAATTCATGCATCGCATTGCTGCTAAATGATCTAACTGAAAGAACTGGCTATGGCATTCCTACTTAATTTCTTTACTGCTCCCCACCATTTCAAGATAAAATCTTATAAGCCCCTTGGTATGACACAGAAGGCCTTGTGCACCACACTTCATTTTTTCCCCAGTTTTTTAAAAAGTAATTTCAACTTTTATTTTAGATTGAGAGGGTACATGTGCAGGTGTGTTACTGAGTGACACTACAGTTTGGGGAATGAATGGTCCTATCACCCAGGTAGTGAACATAATAACCAAGAGACTGTCGGCCCTTGCTCTCTCCCTCTCTCCCCATCCAGCAGTCCCCAGGGTCTATTGTTCCCATTTTTTATGTCTATGTGTACCCAATGCTTGGCTCCCACTTTTAAGTGAGAACATGCAGTATTTGGTTGTCTGTTCCTGTGTTAATTCTCTTAGGATAATGACCTCCAGCTGCATCCATGTTGTTGCAAAAGACATGATTGCATTCTTTGTTATGGCTATGTAGTATCCTGTGATGTACCACATTCTCTTTATCCAATACACCATTGATAGATACTCAGGTAGATTCCATGTCTTTCCTATTGCAGACAGTGCTGTGGTGAACATACGAGTGCATGTGTCTTTTTGGTAGAATGATCCATTTTCCTTTGGGTCTATGCCCAGTAATGGAATTGCTGGGTGGAATGGTAGTTCTGTTTTAAGTTCTTTGAGAAATCTCCAAACTGCTTTTCACAGTGGCTGAACTAATTTACATTCCCTCCAACAGTAAGTAAGCATTCCCTTTTCTCTGCAACACTGCAACACCTGTTATTTTTTGGCTTTTTAATAGTAGCCTTTCTAACTGGCCGCACCTGATTTCTGCCCTTGTTTGGTGCTCCAGTCAGAATGCACTACTTGCAGCCCTACACTTATCCTACTTCCTCACATTCCATCTGTGCTTCTGCACAGCTGCTCCGCTCCCTCTGCCTCATGCATGGGCACCCCCTTCCTCACTGTAATAGCTGACACTCCTGAGCACTCACAGGGGCAGACCAAAGCCTAAGGGTTTTACCTACCTCTTCATTTCCTACTAATCTCCTACGATTTCAGTCATTTTAACAGTTTTAATAATGATGACACTTCCTCTCACCACTCTCTTTCATACCCATTAGGATGGCTACTATTTAAAAAACAAAACAAAAATGCGGAAAAGTGTTGGTAAGGATTTGGAGAAATTAGAACTCTGTGCACTGCTGGTGAGAATGTAAAACGGTACTACTGCTGTGGAAGTCTGTGTGGTGATTCTCCAAAAAATTAAACATATGATCCAGCAACTCTACTTGGGTATATACCCTCAAAGAAAAGCAAGCAAGGATGTGAAGAGACACTTGCATACCTATGTTCACAGAAGCCTTATTCACGGTAGCAGACCCAGAGGTGGAAGAACCCAAGTGTCCATCAACACATGAATGGATAAACAACATATGGTATACACATACAACAGAGTATTATTCAGCCTTTAAAAGGAAGGAAATTCTGACATATGCTACAATATGTATGAACCTTGAGGACATTATGCAGAGCAAAGTAAGCCAGTCACAAAAAGACAAATACTGTATGATTCCACTTACCTGAGGCATCTAAAGTAGTCCAATTCACAGAGACAGACAATAGAATGGTGGTTGCCAGGGGTTGGAGGAAGAGGGAAATAGGGAGTTCTTTAATGAGTGCAGAGTTTAATTTCTGCAAGATGACAACATTCTGGAGATCTGTTGCACAACCATGTACACACAGTGGTTAACACTACTTGCTACAGTTCGGATGTTGGTTGCCTCCAAATCTCATGTTGAAAGGTGAGCCCCAATGTTGGAGCTGGAATGTAATGGGATTTGTCTGGATCATGGGGGTGGATCCCTCATGAATAGACTAATGCCCTCCCTGGGTGCGTTCTTGCTCTATTAGTTTCTGTGAGAGCTGGCTGTTAAAAAGAGCCTGGCAGCACCTCCTGCTCTTTGCATCCTCTCTCTCCATGTGACCTCTGCACCCACAGCTACCCTTCACCTTCCCCCATGAGTGGAAACTTTCTGAATCCTCACCAGAAGCAGATGCCGGTGCTATGCTTCTTGTATATGCTGCAGAACCATTAGCCAAATAAACTTCTTTTCTTTATAAATTACCGAGCCTCAGGTATTCCTTTATAGCAACAAAGACATTACTGGACTGTACACTTAAAAATGGTTAAAGTAAATTTAATGTTACGTAAATTTTATCAAAATTAAATTTTTTAAAACCTAGAGATAAAAATCATAAAAATCTAGAATTCTGCACTGAAAAAAAACCTCCCTCTCCCCCGCTCCTCACCCTACACTCTCTCTCTCTCTTTCCTCTACAGCAGAGTGTCCCCAGAGTACCCCATGCTGCTCTGTCCTCTTCCCTTTCCCCATTCTGCCCAACCCCACACCAGTCCTGTTTTTGCCCTATCACTCTATGAAAGGGCTGGCCCAACTCAGCAGACCATCTCTCTCTGCTAAGTCAAGGGCCAGTTCTAGGCCTCATCCACCCAGCCTCTCCGTGGCATGGCCCAGTGTTGACCGTGATACCCAGGCCAGGCCTGCTCGCTGAGAGCTTGCAAGTGCCCTCCCGCCTTGCAGGCCCTCAGCTCCCTCTGCTGCTTCCTCCATTCCCAGACTCAAAACTCTACAGGAGCCCAGGGCTCAAGGTCTTGGG